AGTGTTGTTGTTTTTGTTGTGTTTTTTTTGGTTTTTGTAGAAGTAGGGGAGGGAGAGGTCATTCTTGCCTATCAACAGTGCCTCCTCATGCCGGTGGGGAGTGCGTCGGCACCGGGTGGAAGCGTGTAAAGATATTTTCCCTGTCATCCTCAATATCATCCTCAAATTCATCATGGCCGTCTTCTTCCTCGCATTCAGCGACATCATAGTCGTCAACTTCCTTGTCTTTTTTGTATGGGCCTCGCTCTTCAATGCCGGTACTTCCATCGCAGTCGGCATCCAGGCTCAGTACATTGAGGGGGGTGCCGCGCACAACTGACCGCGTCGCACCAAACACCTCGCGTACCTGCGAAATCACGTGCATCAACTTGCCACTCTTGGAGCAGCTGTGAATCTGCGGTGACAGCACAGTCGTGTTCAACTTGCCCTGCTTGGATTGGGCTTCGGCGTAGGAAAACGCCGGAACATTTGCTGCATGCCCTCGCACAGTGTTATCGTGTGTCGGGTGCAGAGGGTACGCTGCGTGTGGCACTGTTGCAGGGGACGTCGCTCCGTCCGTGGATGGGATATCCTTATTACTGCCGCTCCTGTTGAAATTTATAAAACCGTTGTACCCCACACCCGGAGGAAGTAATGACATACCAAGTCCCTCGGGTGGAGACAATACATTCATTGGATGATGTGGAGGAGTTTGCTCCCTCGCAAACGCATCAATTTCCAATTGTTGGGTGTCGTTCCTATCCGTACTTTTTTGCGACCCCTCCATGCCGTGCCTCGCTCGCTCCAAAGTTGTGTCATCATTACAAGCGCACTCCACACGAGAAGACCTTTTAAAGAACTCTATGGGTGACATGGTCTCTTGCTCGGGTGGTGTCCACATCATGGGCGTTGGAGCATCATCGAATAGCCTTGACATTTGCTGTAGATTGGGTGGCGTCAAGGGCTCTTCTGGTGCATGTACAACGGAAAAAAGACGTTCTGTTCTGCGAGGATCCAGTGGAGCATGCATAGGTGAAGGGGAAAACGGGCTTGGGGCTTCGCAAGCTGGAAGCGGGGACGGCGAAGGATGCAACTGCGGATTTCCTTGAGGGCACTTTTCACCCAATTCCGGGACAGAGGACATGGAAGGTCGCTGAGAACAACCAGCCGCCGACTGCATAGCCCCGGGGGACAAATGGGCGTTGGTCTGCGGTGTCATGTTTGCCGGTGTAAGGGACATGGGCGTCGCCGGCATGTGCGAAAGTGATAGCGGGGGTACCTCTTCCCCCGCAAACGAAGATACTGGGGTCGTGGCGGTAGATGCCGGGCCACTGCTTCTTCCAAAAATAAATGCGCGCAACTGGGATGACATTCCGCGTCGCCTTGCCACCGACTCCATCCACTCCGCCCAGGCTTCCACCTCTTCCTCCTTGATCAGCAACGCAAAGTCAATAAGAAACAAAAAATCCAGCTCAAGTTTATTAACCTCTTTTAAGGAAAGGCCAGCAGCGTTGGCAATGCGCTCATTCCATCGTCGCGACCCATCTACGTACATCTTTGTTGCAACCAAAATGGCAATGGTAATGAGTCGGTACCAGTTTGCCGTTGTTACACCAAAATGCTCCGACGTACACTGCAGCGTGATACGTGACATATACACCAGCGCCCCTATTAACGCCATAGGAGCAGCATCACCATACGCCACGTGAAGCCCAATAGATTCAATTAACTGCTGCACCATCGTGGGGGAAGTTTCTTGCTCTTGTCTCTCCTCTGACAGAAGCGTGAAAAGTCCCCCACCCGCTGCAACTTCAGTTTGAGTTCCCTCCCCTCCCCTCCGGTGTAACTCATCGAGTGTAGAGTCCATATCGTTCGATGTTCCGAGCAGCTCTTCCAACCCACTCCGCTGCTGCTGCTGCTGTAAAGCCTCACTGCTACAACGACGTGACTGCATAGAAAAGGCAAGCTGCGGTGAAGAAAATTTCGCCGGAGTTGCTGAAAGGGGCTTAAAAGACTCGGAGGGTTGCATGTCAAACGAACGGATGCTTGCAAAAAATGACGACAATTGCTGTTGCTGTAAAGTGTCAGTATTCTGATGGCAGGGGATTTCATTCACAACTACCGGCGCATTGGCTACTCGTCTTTCGCACTGGATGATGAGTTGCTGGATCGCACAGTCATAGAAGGGCGCAATGGCCGACAGCAGAAACGCCGTAGGCGTGTTCTCCCCCACCATCCAGCTCCCCAATTCAGATTCTGACGCACTAAAATTCGTTTTTGCCTCACCATCCACTGGCGTCGCGGGCAATTCCCTACCACACAAGAGTAACTTCGAACGAGGCAATGGGACCGGGAACCCCACGTGAGGCTCATGTTCACTGACGTGACAGGATCGGACTTGCTGCTTGCGTCCCTTTAACGTGGGGGAGAGTGTGTTGTGTTGCGGGGAGTTAGTTCCTTTCAGTGTCCGGTTGCGAATCACCTCCACTGCTGCGGCACCAAATCCACGACGTCGGTGGCACCGACGAGGAGCACCAACAACATGGACACAATTGTGGTGGTGTTGCTGTTGTTGGTGAGTCTGGTGATGCCGAGGAACTCCCCCGTGATGTTGGAGTGAGTTGCCGCTATGCGTTTTCTTGGGAGGGAAGACATAGGCAGCCTGAAACTGGCCGCTAGGGTTGCTATAGCTATTGAGGTGGCCCGCCGTCAGGTCGCATGGCTGGTGCTGGCGATGCAACTCGTTGCGCTCCGCGAACGCACCTCCGCCCCCAACGTGGCTCTTTTGACGGGCGTCGTCACTTTGGGTGGGAAATATGGGGAGCACTTTGGCGGCCCCTGCCCGCGCGCCATCGTCACTCCCCGGTCGCTCCGCCGTGGCGCTGCTACTTCCTTCCCACCCACTCCATTTGCGCTCAAAGAGAGCCCAATTCATGCTAATCGATGGCTGACCACCGCCGGCCGCTTCACCACCGCCGCGCGGTGCCGCGGGCGCCGCCCACTGGGCTTTGGCTACGTTGCTGTTCGAGGAAGCCCAATCGTGCGAAGCGACGCCTACTGACCCCGCCGCTGTCCATGCATCCGCGTCTGCCGCGGATGACGAGCGCCGCACAGACTCGAGGAGGATACTGCTGCAAGTGTCCCCCATTTTATTAGAGGCGCTCAGTCTCTGCGCTGGCGCCGCGGCTGTCGGAGGCGCCTGTGGATCGGAGAATGGATGGGGCACACGTGGTTTTGCACGTTGCAAGTGAGCAGCAGGCGATGTGGACTCCATCGGCGCCTCAGTCGCAGCAGCGGCAGCTGCCGCTGTCGCCATCGTCTCCCTCGGCGCACTCTCGCTCTGTCCTTCCCGATGTTATTGTGCACCAAAGAAGGAATGACTACCAGCAGTTACCTCCACCAGCCCTCGCTTCGCGCGTCCGCGTCGGTTGTCCACGTAGTCCTCGGCCTCCCTTTTCCTCCTAACGAAGCAAAGTAAAATAACCCCCCGAACCAACAAGAAAAAAAAAGACACAAGAAAAAAAAAAGTAAACTGCGTGCATGTCAAGATTGGATAAACATACCAAGGTGGTGTGCATTCATGGCGCAAGCACCCAATGCGCCCCCGCCCCCTCCACACACACAGAGAGAGAGAAAAAAAAAAGCCGACTGAAGAGTTCCGCCAACACACCCACACAGTGCAGGGACCAAGAGACATCGATGGATGCTTCCCCACAAGGCGACGCGTGCCGCACGCAGAAACAACTATCGTGAATGAACGCCGTGCCCGCCGCCACTGCAACCAACAAGAAGAAGAAATATGCTTTTCTTTTCACCCCAACATCAAAACTACAACGAAAAAGCCCGGCGCGTGCCGCAAGGCTGTCAACCGCAGCATCCTTCGCCTCAGAGGCCTCCCCAGCCCACCACGCACACATACTCACGCCACAAATGGTACTCGCCCCGTGTCGGCCGCGCGCAACCACCACATGCAGGCCCGCTCTGTGTACACCCTGCAGCGGACGGCACATGAGAGCACCGGACGAAGACACGACGCAAAACACAAGAAAACCCATAAAACGAACAGGAACACACTCAACAAAAACAGAAATAATCTGCGGTTATGACGGCAAAAAAGAATTCAAACCCATTCTATGTTCACCAACGGGGGGCACATCGCATTTCCTTTTCTACCCCTCAATTGCGTCGTCTCATGCTTTACGCAACGCTTGAAGAGCAAGAGAAGACGACGCAAGAGAAAGAGCCAAGACAGAAATTACAGAAACAAACACTAAAAAAAAAAGAGGCTTGAGTAAACCGGGGAGAGCCCTTCACCCTTCGGCTCCGTTAATTCATTCAAAGGGACCGCTTGCACGCCTCGTCACCTTTTCTTCTCAACTCAGAATATGCGCCTGGCTGAGGCCTTGCCCCTCCTATTCCTACAAAGAAAGAAAGTGCCACAATGGGCGATGGCACCTTCGTTTAACGCGCCCAACATCCCCACCACCGAAGGTGCGATTCATCCCACGCTCGTACAATAACACACACACACGCACCGATGAGGACCGGGCACTCGCTGTCGGCCGACGAGGTGGCGGTCGTTGCGGGCTCCGCAGCCGTCAAACCCCTCTGCGTGGGAGGCAGGTGGGGGGCT